TGATGGCAAGATAAACCGCTTCATGGCCAATACCCTGCCCGTACCAAACAAGCTGACGTAGACAAAAGCCGTACCCATCAGTGGCTACGAAGTGCAGGGTTGAAAGCGGAAACAGAAGGTTTTATCCTTGCTGCTCAGGACCAAAGCTTGCTAACTAGGAATTATCAAGCACATATACTAAAATATTGTGTCAGCCCAAAATGCAGATTCTGTGGTAAACGATTGATCATCTTGTATCAGTTTGCACGGTGTTAGCACCCACTGAATATAAAACCCGACATGACAGAGTGGGCCAATATCTGCACTGGAAAATCTGCAACTTCTACGGGAAGGAACCTGAATGAAACTGGTATGAACACCAACCAGACCCGGTTAGGGAAATAGGACCTGTTACAATTCTATGGGACTACACAATACACACTGACAGAAGAATCAAGGCCAACCGGCCAGATATTGTTATTAAAGACCACAAACAAAAACGGTGCCTCCTTATTGATATGGCAGTCCCTGCTGACTGCAATGTATCTTTGAAGATATTCAAAAACTTGTCAAAGTACAAGAACATTGAAATAGAAATCTCGAAAATGTGCCATATGGGAACATCAACAATCCCTTTTGTAGTTGGAGCCCTAGGATTGTTTGGAAAAGATTGCAGTAGAATAATTGAAGGGATTACTGGAAGTCCATGCCTCAAGGTGATACAAAAAATTGTTCTAACGAGTACAGCCCACACCTTACGAAGGGCTTTATCTATGTAATTTAATTTTTTTTTTTTTTTTTCAGTGGAAAGTGTCATGACGCCATTTCTAACCTTAGGTCCCTAAGGGGACCCGAAAAAAAATGTAAACGCCAGAAATCAAAGAAAATAATAATAATAATAATAATAATAATAATAATAATAATAATAATAGAATTTTCCGTTAAATATGTTGACGATTAAAAGTGGACGGGAATCTTAGTAAAAAACGATTTTCCTAAGAACATTCTGCATATTCGACAATATAATTTATAAGAATAATATTTATGCTCATTTTTTTCTCATGCGAGAAGAACTATTTACATATACTTCCGAAAAGTGCATTATCCAATATTCCAACGTTTTAATCAAAATTAAGCAAATTGATTTTTGTTAAGAGACTTATTTCTTTTGATCTCTGTATATGCATTGCCTCTCACTCATAATCCGCACATTAGCGAAATCCTACTTAGAGTGAATCAAGAAACAAATACTGAATGACAGATTATCTCGGAAATAAATTTACGATAAAAACACAACTTGGTAATGATGAAAAGACATTCAAAAGTTTCAGAAAAAAAAAACGTATGTCAGACTTTCCAAAATTTAATTTTCTCACCCTCTTTAAAAAAAAAAAAAGAATATCTAATTCGACAAGTTTGGACAGGAAGTTTAAAAGATTTGACAAGTGCTTGATGTTCTGTTTAAATACATCATCACTGAAGATAATTCATTTTTTTCGCATATTTCTTTCGTAAAATTCTTGTTTAAGTTCATTTTCTTCAAACAAATTTTAGCCATCTTTCTGTGTAATTTCTGAAATTGGATTTATCGTTGTCACATTTTTAAAAACTTTGCAAATATTAGGAATTGTTATCAAAATAACTTCACTTAACTTCGTGTAAGGAAACGCGCATTTTAAATTGGCATCGACAATCTCGTAAAAGAGTAAATGACTTGTTATCTCAACGTTTGCTCGAAGATATCCAAATAATCTGAACACTTCCACAGGCGATTGCCTAATGTAATTCCCCAAAAAGCGTTGACCTGATGTTTTTAAAAGATTTATACAAGCCTCTAAAATCCTTTGTGAATCTTAAATTCATATATATATATATATATATATATATATATGTGTGTGTGTGTGTGTGTGTGTGTGTGTGTGTGTGTGTGTGTGTGTGTGTGTGTGTGTGTGTTCTTATCCTAATTTAAGAATAGGTAACGTTTTGAAATGGTTCTTAAAAATGCCCTGAAGTTATTTGCAGGAAAAAAAATCAAAACAAAAAATCAAATCAACCAACATGAATGAACTCATTTCCATAAGATATCCTGTAACCTTTTAAATTGACCAAACTATATTCAAAAATATAACTTCAACAAAACTACAACATGAAAAACGTATTACCCTACCTATAATAATTATATCCACACAAACATGTATAAGCACAAAAACTGAGTATGATCTACCATGTATTCAATTGCGAAAGCAGAATAACATATATCAATTTCTTTATTAATTCAAAGCTCTCAAGAAAATTACATTTTAAAGGAGTTGATATGACGTTAAACAGCAAAAACAAACTTAGTTTTTTTTAAACACTCCGATATATATATATATATATATATATATATATATATATATATATATCTGTTCTCACATTTCTTTTTTCTTTTTGCATGAAATTGAAGGTAATTTCTGTTTTTACTACCGTAAATGACAAATAAAAATGTAAAAAAATGAATTAAAATTTTCCCAAACGAAAAAAAAAACAAAAAAAATTAATTCCGTAAGCTTCAAAATATAAAATAGATGCAAATTTTTTTTTTTTTTATTTTAAAATATTGAAATCTGATTTTTGAAAATAATTTATGATTAATAAGACTCATCTTTAACGATTTTCACATTCCAAGCAATGAACAAGAAGGTTGTGAAGATTTTTGCATGTTTTTTTTTTTACAAGGTCACTCTTTCCAAGGGCCACTTGAGATAGAGGGTTATGCATAGAGTCTATTTCTATCTATGTGTAATTACTTGACAGAGGTATTCAGAATGTTAATTAAATAATCATGGAAATCTGATGTGCAACTTGATAAATACTAAAGGAAAAAACTTTTCTGGAGTGAAAAAACACCACATACTACTGACGTAACGTTACTTCGAAGAATGTCCTGAGAGCCACTCGAACGAAATATGATCCAAGCCGAGATTTATGAGAGAATTCCACTCGGAAATTGGATTATTGACAAACATTTCTGAAAAGGCCTCACACCAGAGGCCTGAAATATTAAACCTAACACCCACCCGAAGGAAAGGTGTTGCCAAAGAGAACGGCTCGAAGCACATTGGTTATCCGAACTAGCTCAAAAACTAAAACATTTGACGAGGCAAAGAAGATCTTTTTAAGAAGTGTCTGTCCACTGCAGTAACATAATTTCATTCTACGCATGGATATGTAAATTAAAGTGTCAATTTGAAAGCAAATTTGAATAGGATGTCTTGTATTTCCATTGTTTTAACATGGTGTTAAACTAAAGATTGCGTTTTATCTTCATTGGGGGTTTCATACTTACAGACTGGTGACCTATTTAAGCCACGCTTTGTAAATCACTAAAGGAGAGGGTACTTAGACGCTGGGTAATTGTTAGCAAGTTTGCTACAGTAGGTCAGTTAACACTATACAGTGTGTTCGATCTTCATTGGGTGACCCATATTTTTAGCCTTGTGCCATACCGAACCTACGCTGAAAAATCGACTTGTAAGAGAAATGATTCACCTGGCACAAATAAGAACCTGTAAATATTCAGTAATATATATTTTAATAGTAGTTTCTGTTTTCCTGAAACAGTTCATGACATTCGCCTGTCTTATTATCTCAATACCGCCAAATCAATACCAGCGACTAAACACCGGCGACTCGGCGATCCCGGTACAACGCAGAACGGAGACAACTCAAGAACGAGACAACTCAGCACCAGTAAAAAAAAAAAAATTTATAAATAATAAATAAATATATATCGAAGTCGCTAATAAAGAAAGTGTTATATACCGTACATATGAAATATATATCGAAGTCGCTAATAAAGAAGGTGTTATATACCGTACATATGAACACTAACTGGTATGTCCTAATCCTCATAAATACGATGGACACTGTTGTAAGTGGGAGTAATATGCTGTATAAGTAGTCCAGCACTAGCAGTGGTTTACCTACTTTACGCCGCTGGCGAGTATTGTATTTTGTTGATGTTATAAAGATTACCATTTCATTTCCAACCTCAATTTTGGTTATTTCTCATTCAATAATCCTTTCTAGGTTACAACAGAAAGAAAGACAAATGGCAGCTGGTTATCAACAACAGCAGCTGTAGTAAAAGAGAATATATTCGGGGAGTGCTGCCATGCAAGACATTCAAAAGCATACCAATTGTGAGTTCAATCTCTGGGCTGGGCAGTGTGTACTCGGACTGAGTGTAAACGAGGTGAACAATAACTGAGCAGTATTAAACAAAGCACTAGACGAGATGCTCGTAGATATGAGCAGTGGAACGACAATAGTCTAACCCCATTGATCAAATAAAGTGTTCAGTTCTAAATTCCCTATAGGTTATTTAGAGCAAAATGCACCTGATGATGGTTGGAGGACAGAACGGGGGAAATGTGATAACAACAACAAAGATGAGGAAGATAATTCGGACGTAATGAATGTAAATGAAATATATCAGAAGAATATTCAGGAGATTCTTGGAAATTTAGAAATTTGATTTCAATTGTAAATATTTGTCCTAAAATTCAAACTTTTTGCTGAAACTAGGCGTAGTGGATTTTAAGCTAATCTCTCTGATAATCCAAAGAATTCCATCCTGACAGTTTGATGTTATATCATAGTCTAGTGCCATACAAAATAAAATCTTTGTGGACGCCTCACTATCTGGTGATATCTAATGAGCTAGTCTGACACAATTTTTTCCCAGAGTTGCCATATTGTGTCACAAGTAGCTAATAGTTTGATTTGTTTTTACGGTTTATCAATCTTTTACATGTTATTTAAAGCCAGAAGATATTTTTTAGATTGAATGAATTCATTTTTAGATAATAATGGTTTAATGATAGGTCCTACTATTTAATCCATAACCGGTGAGATAAGAGAGACATCAATACCTTTTCCCAAGGGTATATTTGCCCCTAAGTAAATATAACGAATCTTACTGGAATTTGAACACCGCTCCTCCAATTCCGAGCCATTATATCACCTGAACATTCACGCTTACAGCACTTGTTATTCCCAAGCAGTCGCCCTTCTAGGTACTGATCAGGCTCAACGTTGCTTAACTTCGGTGATCCTACGGGAACCGGTGATTCAAAATGCTATGGCTGTAAGATCAAAGTAGCGAATCGGGTTACATTTGAAATGATTCTAAATTTTTAATTGATTTTTTGTATCTAGTAAACCAAATTAACTTATATTGAATTTATACTAAAATTGGTCAAGTTTTAATGTTTGATATTCAGGAGTAAACGAATCTATAAACCCTGCTTATAATTTTTATGAAATTATAAACAGTGAGATGCAAAACTTAGTGACCCTCTATTTAATATTATTGACCCTCTATTTAATATGCACTTGTTTCGTAATCAGTTATTGCTGATACGAGAGCAATGTTTTAATGAACTTCAACAAGTAGCGCACTATGAAATTTTGAATTGATTTTATTTAAATTATTAGACCGATTTATTTCAGCCAATTAAAAGACAGGCTTCCAATGTCGCGAGTAACTAAATCCAAAATTTTGAATGTGCTGACATTTTCAAAATGTAGCCTAAAATAGCAAAATTTTTCCTCAACATACGATTTTCGATTTTCAGTAGGTACTCCCTTCTTTAGACATGTACTAAACTAAGTTTAGTGATGAAATATGGAAATCTACTAAAAAAGAACGTTGTCCAATATTGTTCTTTTGCGCATTATTTAAAAAAATCTTTGGATTTGCCGTGGTTTTCTTCGCACAAATATGAACTATCACGCATATGCGAATCGCTTCAAACAATCAAGACGTTGATTACAGACAGTCACTAATTTTCCCATAATTAAAATAATACAACTGACACATGAAGACGAATGTGTTATGAATTACTTGATCAAGCTAAGAGCGTTCTTAATGCTAAATTAATAATGCAAATGGCATTTAGTTCGAAGATTTAATAATGAAAATGTTAATAGCAATTAAAAATTGATTTCCGAATTTAATTAAAGTATTACTTGCGGAGAATTTTTTTTCATTATTTTTGAATGGCAACAGATTAGAAGATAGCTTCATGTCGTTTGCGTTTACCGTGACTAATATTACCATCTTATTCCACCTTATTCCTATCAGACTGTTACAAGATTGGAGAATTTTGTTGTTACACCTTTTACTACCATTTCTTTCCTCACTAAGCAACGGTCACTATCGTCATAATTACTTCTGTCCTTCTAGACATCAATTTTATGTTCCAGCTGATATTCGATTCGTTAATCTTTTATTCGTTTTTCCAACACAAGTTGGAAAATATGTATTCAATAAATCTGCCTCATCTATGGAACAACTACTTTACTCATCGGGTTACAGCAAATCACCGTGCTGATAACAGATATGGCGCCAGTTTGTTTACATTGCGCAGATCAGTACGAAAATTTTAGTGATTGCGCAGGTCGGTATTGCCAACATTGTGTCAAAATATTGTGTGAATTGATTGGAGGTTTTTTGAAATATTAGAAAAAATTTATCTCGATAATAATTTGGCACGCAGTGTATAATATAATAAATAACTATAGTGTAGATCTTACCTACAAAAATATGTGACCACTGACTTAGTTATGTCCTCTTTATTCTGCTTGGCAAAGTAATTAGTGCTGGGATTTTAATCGCTTCTAGAAGCTACGATTCGATGGGGTCTGACAGAATAATTAGTGCTGGGGACATCTATGTTCGGTGGAGTCTGGTAAAAACACTGCGACTAGTGACTCCTGACAACTTCTCGTACATTTAGGGGTTCGGATAAATTCCTCCATTTCGTCATGATATCTATCGATTCAACCAAAGTGGTCAACTCCAATCACGTAATTCTACTTAGCTAGTTTTCGATTGATCAATACCAACCACGTGGTTCAGCATAAGTAATTTTCAATTGTTCAATCCCGAGCACGTGATTTCTCAGGGTTGGCCCTTCTTCACGCCAGGAACTTCCCAATCTTGGCACACATGAATCTACCATGTCTGCATTGTGGTTCCAACGCTATGTTTTGACACTTCTCAACTTTGAACCCTGTCAACCGGCTTGTCAAAAGACATATTGTTTTATGTCTGAGTTCTCGTTCTCGTATTCACAGCTGTTAGACAATACATTCGTCTAGTTCGTGAGAATTGATATGTTCCTTTTAAACCTTACAGGGTTAGGGTTAGGGTTAGTGCAGTTTTATAGTCTTCCAAAATCTGCAATATCCTTATGTCCTATGTTGTTGCAAATGACAGCAAGAAGTGATGACAGATGTCCGCATGTAAATAATGTAAATTGGATACACTTAAGCCATTATGCTTTCAAGTAGATAAGCAACTTTCCTCCATATATATATATATATATATATATATATATATATATATATATAAGAAAAATATATACGGAAAAAACAAAACAAAAATCCTTATATACAATTATGCTGTTTTAATGTTAATATGTCAATGTCGGACGTTTCGTTCTAATAAACCATCTTCAGGACATATTCATAAATTATAACATTATCAAGATAATTTATGAATATGTACTGAAGATGGTTTATACTGTTGGATTTATATCCATATATTTGCCTATATATATATATATATATATATATATATATATATATATATATTCAGATCACATTCGTTGTAGTCAGATTCAAAAGAATGTGTCTAATGCAATATCCTCATTGTATTTCTTGAATCATTAAAACGCTTTCAATTCTTTTATGAAGAACATTTTAAATCTAATGATTATTGTTGTCGTAATTATTTTTTCTCGAGATGAAGCTGCCTTCATCTTGGAAGCCTTTATTGCATACAGAAGTGAATTGTACATATTTTGATGCACCAAACACTTAAAATACATCGGTGTATGGATCCGTTGTAACGAATATAGTATAAGAGATAAGGAAACATAAAATGGCTGCGCTAGAGTCAGTTTCGCCCTACAAAGCCAAAACATTAGACTAAAAACTCGAAATCTGTAATGAAATAGTCTCGTCAGTAAAGACTTTTATAAGGATGTCACGCATGCCTTCTATCCCGTGCAGCAATATCTAAACTGTTAGGTATATACAACCCATTTATAAAATCAATGGTTTACAAATGGCATTCAGTGAGTGAAGACTGTGGCTCTTGCCCAAAACAATCCTTTCTCAAACATTGTGGACTGGCGCTACATAATCAAAAACAATGAACTTTACCAAATAACAGAAACCACATCATATAAAGACTTTCACCTAGAATGACCACTAATATATATATATATATATATATATATATATATATATATATATAAAAAACTCGAAGAGAAAATAATGACATAATCAATATGTTGACCCTCTACACTACTTCAAATAAAAGGTTAGGAAGTATACCTTCATCAATACTGGCAATACTGATTACATCTACTAGGCATCAGAAACCTATTTTCCAGTGAAATTCTTTCAAAAGAAAGGTATTATAATTTTAAACCAACTGCTGAATGATAGTAGATATTTCTAATTTTGATATATTTGAACTAGTTTTTAAACACCAACAACAATTTTTAATCGAGATCAATTTGAATTTAAAGAAATTAATTCATATGAAGAATTATTAAGAAGTCCTTTGAACTGCTACCAAAGTCGGTTGTCTGTTTTTTTTTTTAGTTTTTTTTTAAATGGAATTTTTTCCTCTCTGGGTTATTTAAATATTACGTACGCAATTTCCTTTTAAATAATAATGGTTTTAGTGATACAACTCTTACTAATTAACTCGCGTAAGTGAATATAACGAACCCAATTGGAATTGGAACACGGCTCTCCGGTTAACAATTCCAAGCCATCATGTATTTCATATCCAACTTTTCAGCTCCTGGTATTCGTAAGGGGCGACCCATCTAAGTACAGACCAGGCTCGACGTGATCGTTAAGGGACTAATGTTTCAACGTATTGCGGTGGTAGGCCTGATACGGAAGTGAAATATATATAGAAAAAACATATGGAAATACTTTTAATTGAATAGTTTTCTTCAACTAACCTTCGAAATTATATTTGTTTACATAAATTACTAATTTCCTGTGTACGAATCTAATAGCTGAGTTGAAAACCTGGCGATCGGTGTGGATGGGGCATACAATACAACATCCAGTTACTGAACAATTTATAGATTATCTCATTACACAGCTAAATAATTGAAAACATACAAACAAGAGATTTTTGCTCACGCTATCATCAGTCATCAGTCAATGTGGGTAAAGTGGGAATAGTATTACAATGTTGTCTATGGTGTATCCGATACCTCGATATGTTGAAAAAATCGTGATTAGTTCTGGCTGCACTATAATGTCATATTTGAAATTTGCAAAACGCCGCTGGGAAAGAAAGTTAGATGTGTTTAGATATAAATTAACATCAGTAAAACCGTGTTTTGATTGATACCAACGTCTTGGAAAGCAAATGTCACCCTGTAATACCAGATGCTTAAAGAATATATATATATATATATATATATATATATATATATATATATATATATATATATATATATTATGTTTTTACCCAACAATCTCGAGAGATTTAACGGAAATATGATTGCCGAAACCGAATTCAAGTGGATAGATGCAGCAATTTGTAAACGAAACTGGTAATTCATGTTGATCTGTTTTTAGACTTGTGCTGATATGTCGTTCTTAGTTACGTGCACTTGCTTATAAGTGAAATTACTGCATTGTTTTTTTTACGTTTTTATTCTCCAGCTTTACTCTATGTATATATCACCCAATCTGAAGCCTCAACAGAAATAACCTCCTTAGCGACAAACAATATACATTTCACTTCTCTTGGTCCACTGCTGATGCTTTGTCCACCAGTACATAATCAGAAATACTTGATGATAATATTTATCATAGTAATTGCATTAGATGTATCAAAATGTGGCAGAGAGTTTGGTGGACAAACTCTACAGTTATAGCATCTCGGTAAGAGTTTATTCCATATTCCATCATTATTTATATTGTTTGCATGCGTACTAATGTTTTCATCTATTTTGTTCTTATTACATCTTTTCCCGCCATTATCAGGCTTTTGTGAATTCAGGTAATTCCGAATTTAGCACTTAATTTAATCTACGGGGATAGC